TTAAAATTATCTTAATATTTTAATAAGTCAAAGCTTTTGTTAAAACAGAAGACCTCATGGCAAAGTTGTCTATAATTTTGTCAGTATCAGTTTTTATATTAGATTCACAGGAAATTATCATTAAATCTTCAAGTCGATCTTGGGCCATGGTAGAACGAAGTCTTGTCTTTATTAATTTCAGTTTTAAAAAGGTTCTTTCTGGCGATGCACTGGAAATTGGTAATTTAACACCAATTTTTAGAACAGTAAATGAGTTTGGAAAAATGTTTAGTAACTTTTTATTAATAAATACTTGATAAGTTTTCAAAATACTTAGAGAATCATTAACAGATTCATTTTCATCAACAGAGTAATTTGAACTACTTGAATCGGAATCGTCTGATAATGCATTTAAAAATATAGATACATTTTTGTCTAAAGATATTAAATTAATATTCGATTTTACAAGTTGTTCATATTCTCGTACAACATCTTCTTTATTAAGAATTTGATTATAATTATTACAGATGGAAGAAAATGCATCAACAGGTATATTTTTATTTTTCATAGTACTAGCAATTACTTTAATTGTTAATAAAGATAGATCCATTGCTATCATAATAGAGTTATTATTAAACCTTTTATTAAGTTCAGATAATACTTTATCAATAATCACAAAATATGTGTTTACTTTATAAGCCGTCACAGGATCATTTATTTGTTCATCATTAGACAATTCACCGGGCTGTCGTGGAACTCGTATAGGTCTTCTTGTTGGTAATGTCAGTTTAGATTCAAAATTATTGTCTTTGGCAAATTGTTTTACTGATTCATAAATATTGAAAAAYATGTCACTAGATCTCAAACATWTAATATTTTTTTCTGTTTTCTTTATTAGTTCAATAGCCATTAGTATATCAATATTATGAGCTTGTAAAGCTCTACTAACAGGTTCAATAAAATCAAATACTTTTTTAAAAATATGTTCTGTCAATAAAAAATTAAAAGACTGCAAAAAGCCAAGTAACCCTGTACATTCTGCCCCTGTTTTAAAATCAACCTGTCCTTCTAAACTTTTTATATTTTCTAAAGTTTCTAAAATGAAATCCAGTGTTTCAAGCAAAGTTGTTAAAGCATAAGCTTGAGACATCCATCTTGTGGTTGYAACTTTTTTTAATGCCTTTACACGTGCATTTGGATATAATTTTTTTTTGTTTTTCACAATACATGGAAATTCGCTTCHTACTACAACTGATAAAAGTAAATAGTTTCTCCATATTTCCAAATAAAWCAACAGCTTTAGCACAYGAACCAACTGCAGAAGTTATTATCAAATCAAKTCTATGGGCATGACACCAAACAAATATTGCTTAAGGATTTACCTCTTTGGTTTTAATCTGTAGCCCGTTGTATTTACCTTGCATGCTGGCTGCTCCATCATAAAACTGTCCAACTAAGAAATTGTTCCMATCTAAATGATTGTACTCCATAACTTTTATAAATAGTTCAAAAGTGAATATTAATTCTTTGATGGAAATAAGTCTTTCAAATACTTTTTCTTCTTCTGTATAACAAATGACAAATGAAACTTGTTCTCTTTTCGAAATATCAAAAGTAGAATCTATACTTATGCTAAAGAATTTAGTATTTTGGATTTCAAATTTAATAATAACTAATATTTCTTGTGCTARAGCATTCATAAGTAAATTTTGACGTTGCCAAGATATAAATGAAAGTTCTTTTCCGTTGCTCATTTTAAGATTTGAAACATGAATTGAAATAGCTGGAGAATACTTTGCCAAAAGCTCGACAAAAGATATTTAGTTATTTCTATCAACTGCCCTACTATTTCACAGTTAAGTGTTACTTGCTCCTTTTGTTTCTTCAACTATTGATGGGTTAGGTCTGTTACGATCTGTGTAACTCAGAGACCTTTGTAAGTTGGATGTCTATACCATGCAGGCATGCAGCACGATATCTCTGGGACATTTTTCTTCATCGACCAAAAKATGGCTACCTCGTTTAAAGCCGGATCATTATATCTGCCCGGGTGTACTGTCTGCATTGGGTGGTCKGAGTGAATAATTAACTTTTAATTAAGCTTGCAAGACGATTTTCAGTTTCTGATGGAGATTTTCCATCACGACGTATTTTTATTGCTCTAGCCTGTGAACTATTTATAGAAAGTTGAGATCTTGGTATTTTGGACATTTTAAAATGATAAAAAAAAAAAATAGGAAAAATATTCGTTGTCGCACACAACCACTGTATAGCGAGCCGACCGCGCGAGTGACCCTTAAMATTGACCTGACCAAAACGACGTTCGTTGGAAATTCCGAGTGTAATGTATTCTTTGTGTGTGCGCGACAACACTAATAATAAACATAGATCGTCGCTACGATGCCGCTAACAGTCGTACAATCGATTGTATATATATTTATTATTAGTGTCAGCGCGCCCATGTGTGGGTACGGCGTTATAAATATATACCATCCCCTATTTTAGSACATTACAGCCTCTTACAGCCCTTGRTTAATATTTAAAAGTAGCCTATGTTTTTTCTCAGTGTCTAAACTATCTATATATCAAATTTCATTTAAATTGGTTCAGTAGTTTCGGAGCCTATTAAATACAAACAATCAAATCTTTCCTCTTTATAATATTATAGTATGAAAAAAAACAAACAAATGTACCTAATTTAAATAATTTGAAATGCATAATAATACCTATACGATGTATAATGGTATAGGTATAACATATAATAACCAATAACAACATACTGGGTTCTAGGAAAACAGGAAATATATAGGTACCATGTTCAATATGATAAATAATAAAATAGCGGATAAAACGCTGAGCTGAGTAAATAATATATGATATTGACTAGGTAGTTTAAAGAAAGTAAACAGTGATGAACCTACTGCCAGTGAAGAAATAAGAAACTTGGAAACCTTAAAACGAATATTGCAAACGGTAAATTAAACTGTTATGAATTTAATGAATTACATATTACTATGCGGAACATAAATATTTCACAGAATAAATAAACTCAAGCGATGGTGTTTTTAAATAAATAACATACCTACCTACCTGACTTTTGTATTTCTATTAATAATTCTCGTGTACATACGGGTAAATATTATAAATTGCAAAAATATTACAATTCAGCATAATCGAGTGAACGAGTTATTACTTGTTATTGTAAACAAAGTACTATAATTGTGGAATTTTAGGTCAAAGGCCCTTAAATATAATACTTTCTTCATGGAATAATAATATATATTCAAACCCCGTTTGAATTGATCCTCATATATATAACACTAATCTATAGACAGGTMATAATATTACTTAAGGTAAATACAGTGTAACCTGTATGACTGTATCCATTATTGCTGAATTCATATAAAATATAATTTTAGCTTTGTGCATTATTTTTCAATTTGAAATAATAAATATTAAGATTTTTCTTTTTACTTTGCAGAAATGACTGATGATTAAATTTTCGACTCTTTTGTCTTAAAATTCCAGGTCTAATACGTCTTAGCACGTCATAGTAATCCAATTACCACGGTATAATTTAATAAAATAATATTATATTTATTTACATAATATATATTATATAATAATATATACTATTAAGTATAACCTAATCATATAATTTATAATTTTCTACCTACAGAAATGTATTGTTTGTTAAAAATTTCGTTAATCATCGATAATTATAGTTTTTTTTAACATCAAAAATGTTTAAAACCAAAACAATATGTTATATGATACAGTCTAATATATCAACATAATGTGTAGAAGTACATATTTAAACTTATTTTGTCACATAGATAATCATAATTATATAACATATTATAATTCACTAAATAATGACAAGACAATACCTAACAGATTATATATTATATGGAACATATTATACACTGGCCTAGATTGTAAAATAGTAAGATAGGACGAAAAAACGATAGGTAACACATACACATAGCCACACAAATTTATATGCAAATAGTCATATTTCAATATTAAAATATTTTATGTTGATGATTAGAGTCATTTTAATAAATGTGATATTTAATACTAAAAATATTTATTAATGATCGTAGCTAATAATTTCTAGTAAAGTTTGATTTGTAATATTTAAATATAGATTACTACTATTTGTGTTGGTTTTTTAGTTTCCATTTACCCATAAAATAATAGGTATCAGCATGTAAGTGTATATAGATTGATATAATTCGATTACTTATACCAGATAGGTACAATATTATGGTTATATAAATTATAAAATTAGTTTCCGGTGTTTTTGGTACATACATTTTTAATGCAAACTTCATAATAATATTATTATTTATGAGATGGAATAAAATGTCC